CATGAACTTTGCGGGGAGAGTGCCTAGTGCGCCAAGGCGATACTGCACTGTGACGACCATGAGAGGCTCCGTGCTCCTCTCAACAAACGTGGCGCCATCGAAGCTGCGGTGAGAACCAGAAACAAATGATCCGCCGTGCAAGTAGACCAAAGATGGCAGCTTCTGCTCCAGGGAGACACCAGATGGTCGGTAGACGTTGATGGTGAGGCAAGCTTCAGACTGTCCCAGCGAGCTGTACATGTTCTGGAAGCAAGCCGGTCCATTCGCCGTCGCATCTTTTGTGCCATCAAAAGACGCAGGCCAGGTAACTGGCTTGAATCGGCCTGGTCCAACCGGCTGCGTAGAGTACTCGACATTGAACCAAGCATCTACCGGCCTGCTAAAAGTCTCCGTCTTGTCCAGACCCGTCAACAGCTTGGTGCCCTGGAAGCTGCCATATCCGGGCAGGCTTATGATTAGAGACTGGTCTGGTGTCTCTTTGTTTGGAGGGCTCGGTCGTTGTGGTGTTCCCGGCTGTGGCAAGGCCGGAGGATAAGATGGCCTCGCATAGGTGAAGGCACCAAAGTACCAAAAGAGAAACACCGTGCTACTCGAGAAAATCATGATGATGGCGAGCCTCTTCTTCAGCCATCGCCGAGGGAAATGGCTTGCTTTTATAGTGCTTTCTTGCTCCGGTACCGTTGCTGCTGGTACCGCAGTAGATGGTCCAGGGAGTCGGTCCGTCATGTTTGCCGATGTATGCTGGCAGGGTGCCAGGGGGGGCGGATCGCGCAGAGACTGCGGGGTTCCAGATTCGAGTTAGCTACTACTGCGGATAATCTGCGGCCAGAACGACTTTTGTTGGCGCTAGTTGAGGCGGTGGGTGGTGCGCGATGGGCAAATCTGGTGTTGAGTGTGGAGAAAAGGCATAGGACCGGCCAGTACGACGTTGCCAAGCCCTGTTAGATCGCGTTCGAGTCAAGTACATATCAAGGTCAAGTACAGTCTTGCGGGGAACAAGTGCCGTCTTTCATTCTAGACCACTGTTCCTGAAAGAAAAACCCAGTCAGTCCCATAAATCTCGCTACAGTAGAGACCGAGGGCACAGCAGGTTGTGAACGGATCACAACAGGGAAAGAATTGGCACGGCTGCACCATCCATGCTTGTCTTCAGCCGGACTTGTCTTTATTTTTCGCTCCCCACCGATGCATCTTATAACCGGAAGGGAACTAGATATCTCCATCAGGGGTCCAATCTCCGTCGGTAGAATATACACATGCGCGTGACCGATATGCATGCAGGTGGCGAGGTAAAGACTATATGTTAGACCGCCTGCACCCCGCAATACTAGCTTACTATAGTAACCCAGCCACCTAAAAAACCGTTACTCTTAGCGGTCATTATTCTGACGCCGACGAAATAAACTTTGGACGAACGCAAAGCTTCGCATACTTTGTCAAGCTAGACGTGATGTACATGCATTCTAGAATAAAAAATCACTCATACTACTACCCAGACTACTATGTGGTACCATCTGTTCGCTATTTACCTTGATCGTCCCAGCGCTGCAAATTCCTTCTCCACCGCATCCGCCATATCCGCAAGCGTGTCAAACTTCCACGTATACACTGGATCATCGCGGTTCCCCATGACAGCCCCGGGTCTGTAGATCCACGAACTCTTGATGCCCATATCCTTGGCGGGGTGGTGATCGTGATACTGCGACTGCGCCGTCTGCAGCACCTCGTGCTTCTCCACGCCAAACTCCTCCTTGACATGGGCAAGCATGTACTTAAAGTTCCGCGGGTTAGGCTTGTAGGATCCAATGTCCTGAGCAGTATATACAGCGTCGAATTTGTAGCCCTTGAGGCCGTTTGCATTGCCTCTCTTGAATGAGTCGTGGTCGACGTTGGATAAGACGACCAACTTGTAGAACTTGGAGAGCCGCTCCAGCGCAGAAGGTATGTCGGAGAATCCGGGCCAATCGCCAATGCTCGCGCCAAACTTTGTGCATTCTTCTTCGCTGGGCTTCTCTAGCCCGACTGTCTCGCACAGCTCAGGGAGGACCTTGGCAAGTACCTCGGAGTATTTGAGATGGCCGTATTCCCTCTCAACTCGCGCCTCGATCTCGTGCATGGTTTTCAAGAGTTGCTTACGGTCCATGTTTTCTTGCCCGGATTTCTTCAAATGGGGCTCAAGTCCAACCAAAGCTCCATTCTCCCAGTCTATGAGCGTGCCATAGACATCGAATGAAAGGAGCTTGAAGTCTGTGAGTTTGGCCATGCTGACTAGTCGTGTTGGATAACTTGTGAAGGGATGGTATAGTAGAGTTGAATTATTTTTGTTAAAGGAGTTGAGTATGACTTGGAGAAAGATGAGTTGTTTTGATAACTGTTAGCAATGCGATTCAACATTATTTATATAATTTGTACGTCTTGTTGTTGTGGTTGTTTGGAGGCACTTGAGTAACCCCACTTGGAGGCATGACGTTGGCAGTGGGGTAACACTCAAGATAACACGCCCTTTGGATAAATGCGGACTACATGCGGGACTACAACACGGGGAATGCACAAACAGGTGGTGATTGTAAGACAGACGCTGTACACGCTTTGCATGCATATCAGAGCAAAACGTAGATCGCTAACGCGTAGGGTTTAGTAACGAATTCTGTTGTGACTCAACAAGCCGCTGTAAGACCACTCATGGTTCAAGGTACAGTCTGCAATGATACTACATTATTTGGTGTGATAATCTATCAAAGGTTCGGCCCGATACTGGTACTCCAACCCTACACTGTATCGACAACTTAGGCCTTCATCTCATACGGCAAGCTTCCAAGCTTCGACTCCAGCACCTCCTTTGTCAATTTCCACAAGTTTGCCTGCAGCTTCTCATCCAGGGCCTGCTTCGATGGTGCTTGCACCTTCTTATCAGGAACGATATATGAGTTCTGGAACTGTTAACATGATACTCTATCTAAGTTCATATGACTCACCTGGATTTGATCTTTCACGATGTCTGGCGATGCCGCTGCGAACAGGGCGGGTCGACAGCCTTCAGCGACTGGGTCCTTCATGAATGGTCGTACAGCATTCACACCGACCTTACCAAGCGTACCGTACGCTTCAATGGCTTGATTCTGTTGGTCCGTCACCACTCCACCAGGATGTGTCGCATTGATCCACGGCAAACCCAGACTGTTCGTAACCTCTCCAAAGTCGCCGGCCTTGATGTGGGAATAGAGTTCGCGAAGAAAGAGGATTTGAGCCAGTTTGGTTCGGTTGTAGAGCTTCGTGGCGCCGATATCTTGATTAATCTCATCGATTGATTCAAACTTCATGCTCGAGTCTGCGCCCCTGTGGAGGTCAGACGACTGGTGCACGATGCGCGAATCTAACGTCTTTTGTAGAATTGGCAAGAGCACAAGCGTAAGATGGGCTTGCGAGAAGACATTGACCTGCATGTGACTGTCCAGGCCATCGCGCGTTTCGTTGTACACGCCAACACCGAGACCAGCATTGCAAATCAATGCGTCCAACCTGTCCAGCTCTTTTGCCAGCGACTTGGCTACCTCGTCCACCTGTTTCAAGTCTTCGAGGTTGCATTTGCGCCACTCCACCTTGCTGACATCGCCCCATTCCTTGAGCGCCTCCTGGGCCTCGTCGGCGTGGTCCTCCTTGTTCGAGAGGAGATAGATCTTGGCTGGGTTGTGTTGGAGGAGGTGGGCAACGATACCATAGCCGATGCCAGCGGAGCCACCTGTTACGACGTAGACCTAGTTATAAATTAGGACCTGGATATTTGTTATGGGGGTGACATCTTACCTTTCCGCTAAGGTCGGGAATGTCGGTATTGGGGTCGAAGGCACTGCCGATTGCTTTCTTGATTGTGTCCATGGTGTATGCAGTTTAATATGTTAGATACGTCGTGGAGTTCTGTTTAATTGGCTTGTACAGCAACTCTCAGGTCATCGGGGTTTGTTCAGTATATAATTCACCAAGGCGTTGCATGTCATGTCGTCATAATGATTTGCATTGGCGTAGGTAACACTTCAGACTATGGTAATTAGGTACCGAATCAACCTATTATACAGGATGTGTCAGTCAGAGTTCAGGAATTAATGTTATTCTATCAAGCGCTGCATCTTATGCAGAAATGCGTTATTGTGGAGTTTGCACATCTAACCCTGGTGTAGAAGGGTATTTGTAAACTTGCAATGTAATATCGTGACACGCGATGCAGCATACCACGCATAATAGACAACTCGCCGAGAAACGCGCTTCGAGGAAATCACTCTGACATCTTCGAGATAAGTTGTCGCATACGAAAACATGACGTGCCATGTCGCCTGGCTAGACGATGCAGGGCAGCCCCGCCACTCCACTAAACAGTTCGTTTGGATAAGTTCAATCTTCAGAAAATAAGTAGCATCCAATTTGTAACTAAAGCGCATATTTCAATGCAGTAACTCTTAGGTGAATAGCTAAATTCCGAAAATCTGGTAAAACGCACGTGTCTCTTTACCTGGATAGACAACATGTTTTAAAAAAGAAGAAAAAAGAGTATTACCATTAAATCCGGTATCCAGAGCATAACTTCATAGGTCGAGCCCACATCCAACGCCTTGGAAACAACAATCTTGCGCATAAAACAATCCAGAGTGGGGTATATATCCAGCCAGCCAGCGCAAGATCATTAAAGTTCCTCATCCTGATTTCCTAGCGCCGGTAAGCCCCAAACGGCCAGGATAAAAAGAAGAGAAAAAAAAAACCCCCCTGCAACATCTCCCAATCGTACATAATCTTACATGGTACATATGACAATGGTAAAAAGAAAGAGAAGAGGGAACTGCAAGTAAACAGAATACTCGCGGAATGAATCCGGGACCCAGAAAAGCGCGCCTTGTAAAAGAAGAGAAACAAAAAAAGAGAGGCGGGCGGAGGGATCCAAGAAATAAAGGTAGAGAAAAGAAAAAGGGTGGTGGTGATGTTCCAACTCACAAGGCTCAAAGAATAGAAACCTAAGAGAAAAAACCCCTCCCCCTCCCGCCAACTTTGGGACTCAAGGGCCCAAAAAGCTTAACATCGGCCCCCATCTTCTTCACAAACACAAGATACGCCTCGAGCGCCTCCTCTTGCGTGTCAAACGTCTTATCGCGATTCATCCACATCTTGAGGTACTTGTCTGCGCCGACGTCTTTGAGGGCAGCGTACCAGCCGCCCGAGGAGCGCTGGCGGAGCTGGATGGCGAGGTTTTTGCCCTTGAGCGCCGTGATTTTGGAGACTTCGCGCATGCAGGCTGCGCGGAGGTCGTCTTCGTCTTCCGAGTCTTCGTCGGAGGAACTGCTGTCTTCTTCGGAGCTCGAGTCGAGCGAGGATGAGGACGAGGAGCGTTGGATTTTGGGGCGCGAGGTCGACGAGGCGGCGCGGGAGAAGAGACTGGGGCGAGTGGGTTTTTTGGGTTCCGAGGCGGGTTTTGATTCGACTTTCTTCTTTGCAACGATTTTGGGTTCGGGAGCCTTTTTGGGGGCAGGTGCGGCTTTGGCGGTTGGAGGGCTTTTTGAGCGTGATTTCTTCTCGCTTGGTTTTGAAGGCTTTTCGGCCTTTTCTTTGGAAGACTTGACTGACTTCGATACTACGGAAGCTGATTTCGCCGACTTGGATGTGGCAGCTTTTGATGGCGTTGGCGGCGTCACCTTTGCTGGTGGTGGCGCCGCTCTCGCCTTGAATTGTTCAAACGGGCTCGGCCATGAGCCTATAGGCTTTGGTGTCTCTTCGACCGGCGGCGGTGGCGCAGTCTTTTTGGACTTGGGGTCGGTTCTCGAGGGTCTCGCAGGTGTTTTTGGTTGTGGTTTTGGTTCTGGGGTCGACTTGGCTGTTGTCGCCGCTGTTGTCGCCCTTATCGGAGCGCCTCTCCTACCAGTTGCGACTGGAGGTGGAGGTGGAGTGTCGGGGACAGCAGCCTCTCCAAACAGTTGTCGTGCTCGGTCCTTTACACTGGGAAACATGGTGTATGCGCAGCCAGGGTGTCCTGGCTCGATCAAAGTGTGCGCTCACTAGTCGAATCAGTGTAGAGTATGCGATTGATAATGCCCAGTACCCGCCTTACAGCAAAGACAGTGGGAGATCAAGACAGTGCGTAATGGGGGGAGGCGAAGACAGTGCGCAAGTGATGGAGACATAAATGGAGACCTCGGGACAGGATACATATCATTCTGGCAGCCTAGTCGAGTTACTAGGACAAGCCACGGAGACGCATCGACCACCATGTGAGCAGCAATCCGTTTTCAAAAATAAGTGGAACATCCCGGCAATCGCTTCTAGAACGCCTGCTCGCAATGCGGGAGTTGCGGTTCCAACACGCAGAGATGGTTGCAAGTAGTGGGATGCATGCTTGTCGCGTGGAAGGCCGCATGACATGTTCACACGACTCCAACGCATGCGAACGTTTTTATTTTTTGCTTTCCCCGCATCTCTTGGGAGGAGAAAAAAAAAGCCCACGAGGACGACAATGCGACGAAGGGGGAAAAGGCGAAGCGATGGAATTGCAAGAGTTTAAGGGGGGCGAGTGAATGGATGAGCCACCGTGGCCCCCTTTCTTGGACGGAACACCGGCCTAAGCCGGAAATTGGCAACGGGACGAATAACGGTGCGGCAATTCGCTCCCCGGTTTCGAGGATAACCCGGACTCTCCACACCGTTGGATTTCTGGATCTCCGGGGTGGTTGTTGTCGTCGCTCACGTCTGGTTGCGATGGGAGAAAGGCGGTGTTTGGTAAGATGGATCATGCACGTCAGTCAAGGTGCATCAACGGCGTCGGCATATGGTTTAGCGGGCTCCACTCGTATCGCCTTAGCGCATTCTGTTTGCAAGTCACGTTGCGTGTCGTCTCGTGTCTCTCTCTCGAGATTCGCATCAGCCGCCCAAGCCTCGCATGTCCCCAACAATGCGCTCTCACCACGCGGATGCAGGGGCCTCTCTCAGCACCCCATGAACCTTAGCTGTGCGTCCCAACGAGGCTGCCTCTTCACTCTCAGTGTGTTGTTATCATTATTATTGCTGTCATTGTCTTCTCTCATCATAATAATCAGTCATCTTGGACAGCTCTCTCACTACATGTAAACATCATATTGCGCTAGAAAGGGCAGAATTCCGTATATCATCATGCCTCATCTCATCAGTTCATACCTACGCCTGCGCGCTCACAGGCTGAATCCCCACCTCCGCCATCTTGGTCTCTTCAACGGGGCTATCCGCCCTCTCTACCACATCTGTAAGGCCGAGATACTTCAAATTAGCTGCCCATCCCAAATCATCACCAAAGTAGCCCTTCATAACCTCGACACCGTACTTGATACCGTTCTTTGGGTCGTATGTCAGGCACTGCTTGCCGACAGCCAGGCCAATGACTGCGTCCCAAGCAGGCAGCTCCGTTGCCGCGTACTGTTCGGATGAGGGGTCTAGTTCGGAGTTGAGAATGGCGGAGTAAATATTTTGAGCGGCGGCTTGGCCCATGACTGTTGCGCTGCCTGCGCGCTTGATGCCGGTCCACGCAATCACATCGCCGACACCAAAGTGCGATGACGCGTTTGCGATTGTGTCTTTGAACATTAACGATTGGTGTACCATGACTTCCTTGTCGGCATTCAGGCATTCCGCAGGCAAGACTTCAGTAGTAGGTGTACCCTTCTTTGTCGAGTCAATGACAAAGTCTGCAGTGATTGTTTCGTTGTTTGCCAGTGTGACGGTGTACTGGCCGTTTGGCATATCAGTGATGGTGGCCCGGCTACCGAGACGCAGAATGACACCCTCTTCCTCGAGGAGAATCCTTGCGCGCTCCTTGACCTCTGCAGGCAGCGGTTCTGAAGAGAGAACTTCACTCCGCGAATGTACCAATGTAACGGCAATTTGCGGGTAGTAGTTCTTGATCTCAGCAGCGAACTCGATTCCGACAGCGCCAGCGCCAATCACAACTACTCTTCTTCCCTCGCACTTTGATGCGTCCCCGCCAGTGATCTTCTCAATAAACGCCTTTCCATCTCGTTGATACTCCTCAAAGCTCCCAGACTTTGGCACAGCCGGGAACGGCCTCTTTAGCCCTGTAGCCATGACAAGGTAATCATATGCCTGCTGCTGCACCTGACCATTACGATCGCACCACTCTGCAACCTTGGCTTCGGGATTGACATTCTTGACGCTTCCCTGCTTGAAATGTAGATTCGGCTGCTTCAACTCATTCAAATGGCTGAATCTCTTCCACATATGCGTCGTATATTTGGGCGTCACGTGTGCAAGTGGTGCACCAACAGAGTGGACTGTTTAGAGACACAAGCATTAGTCATGCTCTTTGAGAGTGGCAACGAGGGTGATGGTGGGGTCCAAAAGTCAAGCCTCGGCTAGAAGAGGGGGTAAAACGCACAATATCCATCACGCTCATCGATGACTGTAATCTCGACTCCTCGTCTACTCCGCGCGCCCTTGAAATCCGGACCTGGGTACACGCTTTGCCGTGCGCGGCCCTGTGCGTATTCGAGGAGGTTGAGGACGGCAGAGATGCCGCCGTATGCGCAGCCCACGACGAGAACCCGGTGAGGGCCCGACGAGCTAACGCTGCTCAGGGTTTCTGTGAGCCTCATATTGAACGGCCTTGATCTGATAACGGCAGGGTCGTGGGGGTAAGCAAAAACGAGGCTGTGAGGAGGGGTTGAGAGATGATCTGATTAGATTAGGAGATTAGGGATGACAAGGCGGACCGTCTGCTACTTATTGCTAGCAACACAACATGTGAGACGCTACACCGACATTGGGAAAGACAAGCAGTGTACAACGCGCCGGTGGCTTGTAGTCTCCATGGATGATCCACTATCACTGTGGACTTGAAGGTAGGAGATGTGATTGGTGATCGGAGTGTCATCTTATCAGATCCGAGAGTTGACCGGTGCAAATTTTTATCTGATGCCCCACTTTCCGCAGGAGACTATACCAGACATCGTATCCTGCCAAGGTATCCAATGCGGGCTATGCTCCCCAACGGCATTCACAATCAGCTGCTTGACGTTAGACTCTGATCCTTCGTTACAGATTTGACCGCCTGTTCTACCGGATATCCCGGGATTTCAGGCCATTGGCCCAATGTGTAGCTTTCCCATGTGGAGTGTACGTGTTGATATGTAGGTATGTAAAGTGTAACCACTAGCTGCTCGGACTAGCCCATTCACTAAAAAGACTTGGAGAGATTCTGGTGTCCGCCATATAAGTATGTAAGCATAGACACTTTCCAAAGATCGCTAAAACTTCATCACAACTTCAAGAAAAAGAAACACGTAGCTTTTTATTGCTGACTAGTTTGAGTTTCTTCTTGCAGGAACTACACAATCTGAACTAATCACAACAACGCAGCCAAAGCCGCAATTATAAGAACAATATATACCTCTGAAATTACCGCGCAACCTATTTACTCTTCATCATCATCGTCATCACCATCCCCCTCCTCCTCCTCTCTCCCCCACCCTCCCAAGAGTCACTCTCCCTTAAACCCATCCACCAGCACAACTGGCCCCTTGTACTGTTTCCTTGCTCGGACCGCATAATCCACTCCACTGAACAACGCAACAGCCGCAAACATGACAACAGCCCAGTTAAACGATTCAGGCTCTACAGGCGTAGATTCAGGCCAGAAGCACCAAAAGAAGGCGTGAGTGGAATACAAGAAACCGCCAATGTTGACGGGGACGCCCCATTTACCGAGGGACCAGCGGCATGAGGGAAGGAGTTCCGGGTGCACGATGCGGCGGTAGAGGACGGCGCCAATGGAGAACATGTAGGTTATCATTAGGGCGACGACGTTGAGCGAGATGACTGGGACAATCGTTGTTAGCAATGGCTTGTAGGGTGAGTACAAGAGAAGGGGGAGGAGACATACTAGCATTAAAAGCAACATCCGAGCCAATATTAATCAAACTCAGAATAATCGTCAGACCACACGTGACAGTCACTGCATTCGCAGGGACCTGGAGCTTCGGGTCCACGTGCCCAATCCAGCTGCTAAAGGGAAGACCACGGTCTCGGGCAAAAGCCCAGGTCTGGCGCGACGTGGAGAGGTTGAAGGTTAGGGTTCCGGCGAAGATGAGGACAGTGGGGATGGCATTGAGGGCAATGACGCCGCCGGTGGAGACGGCTTGGGCGAAAACCCACATGTGCGGGTAGCCAGTTGCGTCGTCGAGAGCGGCTTGGACGTCGGTGATCATGAACATGTAGCTAATGAGGAAGACGACGCCAAGGGCTCCGTTCATAATGTAGGCGCCAATCATGGCGCGGGGAACAGTTTTACCTGCATCTTTGATTTCTTCGGCCATGTGGGCTGCAGAGTCCGAGCCTGGAGGTCATATTAGAGTGGTGCCTATCAACTTGGGGGGGGGCTTGTGGAGCTAAAGACGTACAGATGCAGGCATAGATGGCTGATAGCTGGCCTACCATCAGTGCCAGGCCAGTGGAACTCCAGCCGCCACCGTTGGTAAAGTGTGTAAATGTCACTTCGGCAGTTGCTCGAGGCGACAAGACCCAGAAGACGATTATAATGGCTAGGAAACCGAATACGTGGATGACCAACATAATGTTCTGGAAGACGGGCATGAACTTGGAGCCCCAAATGTTCAGTACCCAAACCAAGAGGGTAACGGCAATGACCATGAGCGTTCCTTGCCAGTTGGTAGGAGAGTAGTCCGGATACATGACAATGGCCGAGGACTGGATCAGTGTTCCCACGAGAAACGGTCCGGATGCGGTACCAGCTTGCCATGACAGAGTCGACATCCATCCGATGAAGTAGCTGAATGGCTTTTGGACGCTGGGGGGCGAGAACTCCGAAACCCAATGGTACTGTCCACCAGCTGTTGGCGCCATAGATGCCATCTCAGCCAGCGACAACATGACGGTACTGAAGCCGAACCAGGTCCATACGAAGCTCCAGATCAGGCCAGCTGGGCCTCCGTCAACAAGACCTTGATAGGTGGCACTACCTACTGTCAAACTTGTGTCCTTAAAAGCGCTCATATATAGTCACTCACGTCAGGAGAACCTCCCATGTACCCTGCAGGATAACCGTAAAAGCCAATGCAGACAGCGGCCGATAATTCCTCTTCAACTCTTGCACCTTGCCCATGCGCATCATGTCGGCCTGATCCGCCCTCGTGTGTCCCCTCAAAGACTCATGGTACTCCTCGCTCTCGCCATCATCCGCAAACCCAGAGCGATGCGCTCGCGCCTCGAGCGCATTCTGCTTGTCGATGCCACCGAGCGGTTGGCTCTGGTAAGCAGTCATGACTAGCGGTTTTGGCACACGGGGTTTCCCAGCGGGCAGCGCCAAGGGACCAAAAACGAGGCCTTTTATAAACGAGTTAACGTAATTTGACCAAGCTTGGGCAAACAAATCAAAAAAAATAAAGGCCGAAAAGAAAAAACAAGGAACCCCAAGGAGGAAAGACCCGAGAGACTGGGACTCGGGGAGATAAAAGTCACGCGAAGCGTTGTAAGTAGGTAGAAGTCAAAAGAAAAAAAAAAGAGATCTAAACGGTCCTGGCAAATTGGGTAGCGCATTAGTTTGACAAACGGGCTGGCTTGCCTCGCTGACCTAGGCCCTTCGCTTCGTCCAAACGGTGGCTTGTCTCTCTCTGCCGCTCCTAGAAGACTGGGCGTGGGGCCCGCTAGGCTGAAATGCCCTCGAACCCAATGCCGTGAGAGCAATCATCTTGGTATGCATATGTGTGGACAAGGGCCGGCCGCACGTTGAGCATTGGCACAAAAGGAGAAGAAGAACCCCGCAGCGGAGCTGGGTGATGAATGGTTCTAGGGCGAGTCGGTCCGTTTAATTGGCAGACCTTGCTACCACGCGGGCCGCTTCCTCATCTGGGGGTTGGGATGCTTGGCGCTACAAGATATGCAGGACAAGATGGAAATTTGATAAGCAAACGTGGCGGTCATATTGCCCGAAAGGGGAGGGGGAAGGGGTGGTAATGGAGTAAAAGTGACTAAAAAGTACGATGAGAAAGAGACGATTGGATGGCAGATTAGTAGTTGAAAAACAAGTCGGCCGAACCAAGACACGGCACAGTGACATTTGGGAAATTGTGTCTCGACGAAAGAGGCGATCTGCAGTAGGCTAAGAGAAGGGCGATGCGTCGATCCTCCGGCTTCTTTGCTTCTTTGAATGTTCCTCTTGTATCCACCTGCAATCCTCAACCGCGGCTGAATATATATGGCGTTTTCCTGCTCAACCACACCGTCAGTGGCGGGCATATCCGTGGGAGTGGTAGGTTTCCGCTCATGTACAATTCGTCACCACTGTACCGCTCGGCCGCCCGCTCAGAAGCCTGCTTTGCGTTAGGAGACGGCTCGTGGCGTGTTTGGCATTTGCTCGCTTCGTTGCGCAGAGCCGTCGAGGCCATGGGATCACAGTTAGATGCAATGGTGCAATACTAAGCGACGAAGGACCGGGCCACGCTTCGCAAGGCGGAAGGACGAGGGAGCCAGGGGGTGGGTGGGGGTTGACCAGCGGGACATGTCGCTGCGCTAGTGTGGTGGGTGGTGAGCACTGCCATCGTTGCCCTGGAGGGCTTTTGGTGAGATCTCTCGGCTGTCAGCAGAAGGTCAGTTATAGAGCTCCCAGGCATCCCTTTGCTGTCGCGCCACGTCCCATAACGGCTATCCTATGGCCTCTTTTCACCTTCGCTGTCGCTTCATCTCCTTTGCCTCTGTTCTTCATGGCGGGAGATGTTATTCCTCCGCCCTATGTCATCGCCGCCAATGACAAGCGCGGCCTGATTGTCGTGACAGGCGCTTCGGTGTTGGCCTTTGTTTGGTGCTGCTCGTTGATCCGTGTTTGGCTGCGATGGAGATTAAAAGAGTGGAGATCAGATGGTGAGTACTTCGTCCTGCTGTTTCCAAATTGCAGATATGGAGCGCATACTGAAAATTCGCTTTTGTTTTTAGACTGGTGGCTTGCGGCAGCGACGCTGCTAGATACGGTTCAAACAGGCATCATCTTGCACCTCGTTACTCTGGGCTTGGGCGCATCTCAGGACAATATACCACTACCGCAACGCGAGCAACTGGGCAAAGTAAGTTGCCCCCCAGTTTCCAGAATCGTGCTGGATCCGCACCAGGATGTGCTGTACTGGGCTCCACAGAAGCAACGTCTGACGGTCTGAATAGGAAGGTTTCGCAAGTCAGCTCCTCTACATCTTTGTGATCCTGGCCTCCAAGTTATCCATTCTCTTCCTCCACCTACGGATATCGCCCGGAGGCTTGCATCGCATCGCCGTATGGGCGACCGTGGCTTTGTCATGTATATGGGCAATCATATCTGTCGTACTGGTCTCGGTACCATGTAACCCAACGCAGACAATCCTAGACCACACCAACTGCAACAACCGGGTATGTTTTTTTCCTCTTCCATCTTCTCTACTCGAAAAACAGAATGACTGATTGTGTTGGCGCAAAGTGGCCCAAATGGCTCTCGATCGGCATTCTCGACATGGCAACCGAATTCTTCATCTTCACCTTGGCAGTTCTACTAGTCCACTTCCTGCACATGCGACGCGGCGCAAAAGCCTTGGTCGTATTCGCATTCAGCGCACGTCTCCCCGTCATCGCAATCGCAGCTGTCCGGCTGTACTATCTGCGTGACCGCATAGCCGGGTCGTACACGTTCGACTACCTCGTGGCCACGCAGTGGCAAATGGGCTACGCCATCATGAGTTGTACCATTACAGGCCTGGGTCCGTTCCTCAAGCCCTTCGACAGCGAGTACGTCGAGAGCTACAAGCACTATAACCACAGCAGTTCGCATCGCTCGGCGAGCCAGCACATGACGACAAGCTCGAGCGCAAGTTCTGTTCTGCCGCCTCGCCGTATTATGCCGCGAAAAAACCAAGATAATATCTCAGAGTCGTACTTGATGAACGACATGCCCTCGCGCAGTGGCAGCAAGCGAACTGTGCCTGACCATCGCCGCTCGTCGTCTGGAGGAGAGCTGCGGCAATCAGAAAGTCCCCTACCCAATGTGCCAGTCATGCTGACGGCCGATGAGCACTTTCGCCCCACTCATATATATCGCGGCCACGAAGCTGAAGTATGGGTTGGAGAACGGAGTCCAAGTTTTCCCCAAGAAGAAACGTACACAAGCTCCGGAGCCAATGGCGCCCGACGACCGCCCTTGGTTATTGGCAAGAAGAAGGAGTTCAAGATTGAAGTTGATAGGGCAAGCCGGATAGTGTAGGCGTTGTTTGGACGAGTGCAACAATACCCTTACTGTAATTTTGCGTGCGGCACTGCAGGAACCAAGCAGGACTTGGTCCAGCAAGGTTGCGCACAAACGACGATCTCATGATAACCTAAGATGACCCCAAAAAAATAGACCTCCAGCAAGGGACCATGTACATATTCCTTCCCTAATAGACAAAAATCGAATCAACGGCATGATTTTGAAATGCAAGTCACCTGCCTTCGTTACTCATACAAGTCACTTTATAGGGTAAACACAAATAGCAAACAAAACTCCACATTCCTATGCGAAAACCTATTATACACCAAGCAAAACGAGCAGTTTCCTAATTACCCGTGCTCCCCACCGTCATGCTCGCCCCTAGTAGTCGCAGTGATATCATGGGAAATGGTGCTTTTCCAATTGTTTCATGCGCCCTATACCTCTGCCTCTTGTCCAAACACAGTCATGGAGAATCAGACACGGCTAAACGCACATCGAGGGGAATCTTGCAAAGGTTACCACTGGATAGCGGCTACCTGGAACGGAAAATGTGTAAAGGGTAAGAGAAGTAATAATTCAATAGGCTTGCTTATGCGGAGAATCGGCGCATAACCTTGGCGATGACTGCTGATGATCAGAAGTGGACTTCACAAAGGCATGTGAGACTGCGTACCGTGGAGAGCAACAACGCTGAAGATGAAGACAACGGACAGGGTCATAACGACGACAGGGTCAACCTTGAGTCCGGGAGATTCATCAGTGTACAGCCCTGAACAAGCACGTTAGCAGAGTTCAAGAGTGACGTTTCTTCTTAGTGCTATATCCAGCATCTCCCCACTGTAGACGTGGAATTGAACTTGGTACATTGCCCAATCTCCTCATTTCCTTGCGTCCAGCGGCTGGTCGAGTGATTACTTACTCAGCATGGTGCTAGAGCTACCTCCAGCACCTGCCGCCCTTGTGCTGCTCGGTCGCAGGTTGGCGGTCTTCTCAGCGCGGTCGGCGGCCGCCTTCCTTCGCATGACGGTCGCAGGACCACCCGGGGGCTTTGGCGACGCAGGGCGTGCGGTTGTTGAGCCTGAAGAGGCCGCGTTCGGTGAGGTGGCGCGCGGGGCAGACTGTTGTTGCAGTTAGTGAATATGTCGGGGCATGTTGGAGTTCGGCTGATCCGTCGGCATGTGAACGTCTTGTAGAAGGCATTGCTTGCATTTCCAGGAGAGCGAAGAAGCACATGTAGGCTGCCGAAAGGTAGAATAGCATCATTGCCCCTTGCAGCCCTCATTCGCAACACCTTGTCGTCTACACGTGTCGCATACTCCTGTCTTGCAAGCAATGGGCGGCTTCTCTATTGTCCAATGGCTTCGGGTGCGCTCGGGAAGGGGTGTGACTGACCATGATGGGCAATTTGAACGGCAACCGGTGCGAGATGGGCAGAAAGTGGGTGATAGAAAGGTCGTGGGAGGCTACAGGCGATAGTCACTCAAACAGAACCCAAAGGCCACGATTCTGGAGCTGGGGTTGCCGCGGCGCGCTAACCCTGATCTCGCTTGCGACTACGCTAGCAAGGGTCACGTGTTGTGCTGTGTTCGCTTCGCTTCCTCATGTCCCGTTACAGCCATTTGCCCGGACCGGTGGCCATAATTTAGAAAATAGCAACTTCCAGAACCAAATGTAATGTATTATGGCTCACAGGAAAAATAAAATAAAAGACCAGGTCTTTTCCCAAACCACTTTTTTTTCCCATTACGCAGTTCCGTTAAATGTACCAGCCCTCATAGCCTCCCAAGATGATCGAGGCAGCGTCGTGGCTGTCGCTCGTTGATGTAGAGGCTCTTGACCCGATCCGAAAAGCTAGCAACCGATAACAGCAAGATAACCTTTGACAAAACTCCCGCAAGTCCCCCATGAACCAATGCCAATCCGTGAACCCTGGCAACAAACACCTGTACCCCACTCGTGAAAAGGTATATCATCTCCAGCAAGACCCCAACAAGTGCAGAGGCATGTGCATGGTGCACCTCGAACCCACACGAAATATTCGCCGACCTTTCCCATTGACCTGCTCCGCCCAAGCTAGTACTTCAAAGACCGACTTGGTATGCCTGAGACACCTGAAATGCAGTAACTCCGGATGTGCATCGTATCTCCCTAAACAAAACTCCATTTTCTAGCCCCAGACCGACGCCTGCACGCCCTGCGTGGGCGTGTTGCTCCAAGGACCATTGTTCCAAATACCAACTCCCTTGTCCGTAACAGTCGAAGAGGGATTCATAGAAGCAGATGTTGTAGCAGCTGCATTGTTCTGCTCGCTAGCGTTGTACGAGTTGTAGCCCAGAGGCGAGGGCAGAGGCGAGTTTGTCCGCTTGCCCATGGCAGCACCGGCAGGCTGCTGAAGGTTCTGGTTCTGGGGACGGGTGCCAATGGGGGCGACGCCGGAACCGTTGGCCTTTTGTCCTGGCACGGGTGGTGAGCCGCCGGGTGACGAGTTAGAGGTACGGTTGGCCTGCTGGGCGTCAAACAGATTGAATGCGGGGGCCTGTGTAGTCGAGGGGGACGAGGTGCTATTGGCACGGGCGTCCTGGGCGCTACTGGCCGCATCCTTGTCCCGGGGCGGCATCTGAACAGAGCCCTCGCCCGCAGCGTTCTGGGCTTGCATGCCGAAAGGGTCAAAAGCGAGGGGAGACGGCCCGCGTCCGGCACTCGAAGTCTGAACGCGAACGTCCTGGCTCGAGGTTGGGTTGTTGTTGTACAGAGTGGAGGTCTCGCCATACAAAGCACGGTGCTGGCGGGCGATGAGTTCGCGGCGCTCGTCTTCATTCATGGCATTGGGGCTCATGGAGCGGTCCGACTTGGAGCCTGAGCCCGAAACGTCTGCATTACCCTAAGTCAACTGTCTGTCCTGCTTCTATTGTTGCCCAGATTCCGAGTCCTTACTTCTGTGATATTGCTGCTCCTGGTGATAGTTGCGCAGCTCACGCTCTCGCTGGGCTGCCATCCGTCGCTTCGCCTGTGCCATCTGGTCCGCATCGTTGGGTCTGGGCGCATAGCGCTGGTTCTGGTAGAAGCCCTGTACATTGGAAGCCGAGTGGGAGCGAGAGCCGTCGTACTCGCTGACTGAGTGGTGGCGCTGAGGACCGCCCATGCGCTGCTGGTCTGTGGTGGTGGTGGTGTGTATTAGTATGCGTGGGTGATGTGGTGTGTACATGTCTATGTGGGAATGCGTACCATAGTCGGGGTATGGGCGAGGACCACCTCCCATCATGGGCATCGACTCACGGCGGGCAGCGCCCATGGGCGTGGGAGGGAAGCCGGGGCCAAAGGGCTTGCCGCTCTTGGCGAGGTTCTCAATGGCACGGTCGACCTCTGTGATGGTGTCAGTGTAACGGTACTAGAAGCATGTGTGCCAAGGTAGTGTGTCTTGTCACAACCATGTTTGTTGCATGGATTGGGCGCCAAACATGGCACTGACAGACGACAGTGGCGCAAGACAGACGACTGGCAACGTACCCTCGAACTGAGAAGCGTAGGCATTGGCGACTTCGCTGTTGACGGTGGAGCTAGTGCCTACAAGTGGGTGAATGGGTGCACTGTGACTGGCGGGGCGCATTGGTGTAGTACCTGATCGCGAGGGCGGGGGAGGCTGCTCCCACGAGGGCTGTCGGCCGGGAGCTGGTGCGTTCCACGACGCGTCGTTGTAGTAGGACATGGTGGTTGCGGGAATAATCGTGGCCGGATATGGAAGACTCGAGATAGTAGTAGCGCCGGGCGGGTGGAGTGGCCAGGAGATCTATGAGCGAGCAGGTGAGCAGGTGAGCAGGTGTGCTTTGCAGCAGAAAAAACAGGCACAGGAAGCAATTGGCGTCGACTTGGGATGAGAGGATGGTGGGACTGGGCGTCGTCGGGTTGCGGGCGACACGAGGGGGGCGGGAGATGAAGTCGAGGCGGGCAGCGGAAAATTTTGGTGGAGAGGGCACATGTTTTGGAGACTGAGGGGGAGGGCCTAGTGGGGACTAGGGGTCGTGGGCTCATACTCACGGTGAAGGCGACAAAAGGAGCGACAGCTGTCCACTTGGCTGAGGGCAAGGTGAAGTCGGCGAGTGAAGGACAGCTGGGAGCGGGTGGGTAGGGGTCAGGAGGGACTCGGGAGATATCGCGGGCCTGGGTGAGGATTATGTCGAAAGGGGATGCTGGGGACGCTCGACTACTCGCGCTAAGCAGGCCGAGCGAAGAGCTATCCACTTTATTCATCTCGGCCTCGAGACACGGGCCTCAGCAAGCTGCAGTCAGTGAGCAGGCCGTCGACGAGGCATGCCATGCCATGCCGCGTTTGCACTTGCAGTTGGCCCAACGGCGGCCTCGATGCAGCCTGTCGGGGCTCTCGCGCGCAGCGACGGCGTGGGCGGACGCATGAGTGCATGACGTCCATGGCGGGCTGCTGCGGGACATGCATACATGTCTAGTGTAGTAGGTGCTGTGTGTGTGTGTGTGTGTGGATGGGCGGATGTACATGTACATACGTACTTCTTAGTCCCTGGTTACTTTAGATGGCCAGCTACCTGGGCTGGCAGCCCGCCTAGCGAACCGTTGCTCGGCCCATCAGACGACGACGGAGCTGCCCGCCCGCCCACAAGCACATGCCTGCTGAAGCTGGCGCTCTCGCAAGCCGGCCAGCACCGAGGGCCGCGAGTCTGGCACAGCCCGAGGGCCGTGGCGAGGAATAAGGGCGGGCGAGGACAGGAGGAGAGGGAGGCGTGTCGGGCCATGCAAGCACAGTGCATCTGGCCCCATCGCCATGTCCCTACCGGATGGCCGACTGCGAACGAACGGGCTTGGGCTGCACGATGCGGGGCATGGGATATGGGCAGCCTGCCAGACTCGCCAATGGGCGCCCGGCCCCGACGGGCGTCTGCGAAAATATCAACCTGTGGCTGACTCCTCCGCACCCGCACCCACGCACACGGCCATGGCCCATCCCACCACGACATGGCTGCCCAGCTGCCCAGCTGCCGCCGGCCCTGTTGCCGCAAAGAGCTGCCAGTCCGCGCTTAGAGCGCTTCGCATGCGAGAACAGGACGACCGTGTCGGAACATGGTGCCGGCAATCTGGCTGGCTGTGTGGGCGGGCTCCACCGTGTGCTTGCATAGCACACCCGTTGCAGTCTTGGACGCGTACCTGTGTACTGGGCACATGGACAGTAAGCAAGTACACACCCCTCCGTGACGGCCAACCAACACACGCAGGTGCCGCAATACAATGCAATGCGGTTTTGCTTTGTTCGGCTAGACATGCGCTCCCGCCTGCTACCCCGGCTTTTGGAGCTCGCCTACCTGCCCTGCCGTTGCGCTACCACCACTAACAAGTCTTGTCGAATCCAGCAACACACGTTTGGGGCACGGGAATCCGTGCTTCACCATGCATGCTTCCTTTTACCCCTGTCCCGCCTCTCCACCTCTCCAAAGTCCATCTTCCCTTTGCTGCGTTGTATTTACCACCGTCGTGACTTCCCTCTCCGCCATGCCCGCCATTGATCGCTCCTTCCACACCATCGTCATTGCCGTCGTCGTCTCGGCCAAATGTTTGCTTCTGGGTCGCCGCTGCCCCTCTCCAACGTCAGGCCCCACGCGCTTGCCACCAACCGTTTGTCTCAACCGTCGCCCATGACACCAGTCACACTCCCTCGCCCTCTTGCCCACCGCCCGTATACATAGCCCCTCAGGCCGTCACGCATCCTCTCGTGCAACCTCATCGCCCGTGCGCCAAATGCAACAAAGCCGCATCAAGCAAAACAATGGAACATTCCAAGGCCTTGCAACGTCAGCCTCTGGCACAAGAGCTCCGTTTGCTGTCAGAGTCCCCTTCACAGTCTCATAGACGTCGCTGGCGTACATGAATGGAGCAGAGGAAATGGCCAGGACGAGGACCTCTTTGATCTCGACCAGCAGCATGCACCTCCTGCTTCGCATGCCTTTTCTTTGTCAAGCGGACACAATAAGTCGGCCCAGACCCTCCATCGTATCCGCATGTGCGCACCACCATGTCTTCGGATGCCACGTCCTTCCATGGCCTGCCCGCGGAGCTCATGCGGGACATTTGCGATTTCTTGCCACTGGACGCTTTGCTGGCACTCAAACTCACGGCTCCACGGCTTAACAGTACGATCCGCCTGGACCCACGCCGTCGGCAGGATGCCCTTTCGCCCTGTGCACGACGTGCAATACACAGCTATCTGAACCCGTCACTATCAAAGCCCGATCAGCAGCACTGTCGCCTCTGCAATACCGCCTATTCAATGGCCATGTTCAGCTCGTCGGCCAGCCCAGCATGCATTCCCATGAAGCTCACCACTACGCCCCATGACGTAGTCCAACTGCCATCCAACGTCTGCTCCTGGCACGTAAGTAGACTTGCAAGAGTCATCCACACAGGATACAGCGGCAGAAACGAATGGACTAGTTGCATGGACGACATGTGTATGCATTGTGGAAACATCATGGGCTGGACCAGGGGCAGCTGCACATGCGATAGTTGTGGCTTCTGGCCAGTTCGCACCTATACTCGCTATCTCAACAACAGCAAAGAATGCCATAGGTTCCTCTTCTGGCGAGAAGCTTCAGAGCTGGCTGATCGTGCCGCCGGTCCGCTATGGGTCTGGGAAGCCTATTTAGACGATGATGATGGTAAGCTTTCCAACTTTTGTGCTGACCGTGTACAAGTTCAAGTACCTTGGACAAGTTGACCTTTCTACGTAGATGACTTTCACGTGATTTCAGAAACCAATCTGCCAGTCCGATTCGCGTAATATCAGCCAGGGTAATCATGTCGACGAGCTCCGTCCAACTACATCATGTCACGCTTTCTGCGCTTGTACTCTTTAATTCATTTTAATGTCATTTTACAATCCACTCTTTTGGTCATAAGTTGTCGTCTTCTCGTCGGCTCCAAGGCCGGCCTTTTCCACATCGCCTCGAGTACTCTGCGACCGGGCCCGCTGCTCTTGCCCCCACGTCCGTACACTCATCAGAGCCCACCACTGCACAAAAATCAAGACCATACTAAAGCCTGCACACCAAAACTTGACGGTGCTAAGACCCCTAGTGCACTGTTCCAGCCACTCGGTGTCCCACCCAAAGCCAGCATCAATGTCGCGGCATATGGCTAGTACGTCGACCGTGTAGCTCGGAGTTACCGGATTTAATGTTCGGAAGTCCCATGGCAGAACCAGGTTGACGATTGCGATTGTTAGAAATGACAGAGTCATTGTGTGCAGCAGGGTGTAAGCTGACACCAGACTTGGCGATGCCTGTGTTATCGCATTGTAAGCACCCATGCGTCATGACAAACAAGACTCGCAGTAGTTCCGGACGATCCGACAGTCCGTCGCACGAAACGCGGGGCAAGGAAAACAAGCTGCTGACTTACCCGTAGTGCGCCAACCAAGCCGAGAATGCTTGCACCGCAAGCAAGCAGGTTGTAGGTGATGGGAAAGTATGCGCTGTCGAGGTCCGAGCCGGGCAGCGCAAAGGACATGGCGAGGAGGCCATGTGCGCAAAAGGTGAGCACGGGAAGGACGATGGCTAGGAACCTGTGGGCATGTCATGTCAGACTTGGGCCAGGACAGAGAAATGCGAACAACAAACATACCTCATTTGGCTCTGCTCGCTGGATGATGATGCCATTGTCAAAATGGAAGTGTGTTTGTTGAGTTCTCAAGTCCAGCTTTTTGCCTCCAGCGTCGCAACGCTTTTCCTTTGCCGAGACGACGGCGCTTTGCAATGCGACGCGGTTGTGATAAACGACGTGAGAGGGAAGGAGGAGATCAAAAAAAAAGAGGAAGAGAGAAAACCAGTCTGCGCAAAGAAAAACGGTCGCGTATATTCAACAAAGTTTATAATCGGGCAAAAAGCAAAGACATACACACAGACACACTTGTGCTTGTGACCCGTCACCCGAGGAAAGAGGAACCCACAAGGCCGGCGCAAGGACCAGTTTCGTCGACGTCAGTTTTCTTGCTCACGCTTTTTTTTTCTTTAGTTCGCCCCGGTTCAGCCCAGTTGAAAGCGGAAGCGGCAGGGAGAGGGATCCAAAAGATAAAGAACGGATCGAAGCGGTTATCAGATGAGCGAGGGGAGAGGGAGGGGGCGGATATGTAAGTAATCCGGGGTATGATGTGTTTGGATTCTCGGATATAAGGCTGAGTAATGTGCTTAATGCCTTGGTTCCTTTCCTTTCTTTTTTTTTCCTTTTCTTTGTCCCTTATTGAAGAAAGACAAGACGAGGGCTTTTTTGGTATGTAGAAAGAGAAGGGGGGGGTTATTTTTTTTTTCGTAGTAGTAAGTGTACAATGTGACACAAACAATAGACAAGACACTGGTTTTCTGTTTGGTTGGGAAAAGTTGGTAAAAAAGAGGAGCGAGAGAGAAAAGGGCACAGAGATGAGGCTGAAGGTATACTAGTTAATACACTAAGCACAACACACCGACGTCACGAGCTTTAATCGTTCAAAGTAAACCCTGACTCTCTCTCTCTCTCTCTCTCTTTTGCTCGCCGGGGTGGGTGATGTCCCGTATTCCGTGTTTCGATTTGCGCCTCCCCGCCACACCCCCCCCTTCCCTTCTCCCGCGATGCGAAAAAAAAGGGCTACAGCTCTTCTTTTATCAGATCGAAGATTCCCATGTACGATTATCTTGCTCCTAGATCTTTTCGCGGTTTGGATTCACCATGAATGGGGGCCTTGCACTTGTCTCTTTCCTAAACCTGACTTGACCAAGCCTCTTTTTTTTTTCTTTGGCCCTTCGGCGATGCGCGGATGGACGTGCGTCCGCCTTGCTTGCTTCCCCCCCCCACACCGACCTTGTCCGTCTGCATGTCCCGAGAGCCCTTGAGGGGTCCCTTTTTTTGTTCTTCTTGGGCGAAAGAATTTACTTGGATTATGGGTTTTTACTAGTAATAGAGGAGCTTGGGGGGGTGGGGGGATGGAAGAGAAGTATGATGTGTCACCGTTTTATTATTATTTCATGTATATTTCTTTCCTAATATCACTTGCTACGTATTGTTTCTACGATTATTTTCTTTGTATGGATAAAGAGAGAGAGAGAGAGAGAAAAAGATATAATACATATAGGTGCATGATGGTCATCATTACTACTCTGAACGTGACTTTGACTCCATAGAAAGCCCTTATCGAACCACTGGTAAGCCACCGGCACTGCAACACAGCCGCGCATCCGGGAGAGGGGGAACAAGGTACATCAGGCTGCAAGGTTATGGTCGCATTTTTCGGGTTCTGGTGAGAGGCGAAGAGATTATTATTAAGAAGCTCGATCTACATCACTTTTTGTCATTTTGTTTCCTTTGCTTCGGAGCGGGGAAAAAAAACAGACGAGTCCTTGTGTGTTTGTGTGCATGTGTCGGGGCTGCCTGTTCTTTGGAGAGGGGGTGTTCGGACTAAAAAGGGTGGATGGATGGAAAGTGGGTGTGTTGTGTGTCACGCGATCGGGGATTGGGGGGGTTGGTCGGATGTCGGATATGGGATGGGGGGTCGGGGTTAGTTGTTCCCGACTTCTTTTTATTTATCTAAATATCAGATAACTACCATTTTCCATCTGTATGTGTGTGTTTCAGGTAGATGACTGGGTTAGTATGGGTGAGTGGTTCGGAGAATTATGGTTCCTTCCACTGCTGAACGGTAGTTCTATGAATTTTCAGTTTGATGTGAACGAGGGGAAGGGTTGATGGGGGAGAGGACGCGGTATCCTTGCTTCGCATCATCATCATCATCACGGCACGTGTAAAGGGTCTCTCGCGGGAGCGGACGGAAATAAGCGGCGTGGGTTTGCTCCGAGAAAATTAAAGTGATGATTTACTGGGTGCGAACACGTGAGTTTCACGTTATCCGTACATCGCGATGTAACCGTAGTACCACACCGACAAAGGAAGAGCATCACGTGATGTTTTAGATATGGGGGGGGGTTACTGTGCAATGGTAAAATGACAAAATGCCATGTCTGATGTAAAGTTTGCGGCTACAATGGCTAGCTTCGATCGTCCTCGGAGACGAATGGGTCATGGCGTCATTGGTCGAAGCTTTGGTTTTTTTTGTTACGTCTAGACATAAAATAGTCAACTACTATTGTCTAGTACCAGTACTAAAGTTTGCCGAACAGATGCCGATTGAGGATGGAACATGTGATTATGACGTTGATAAGAATGAAGAAGAGGGAGAAGAAGTGCACGGGCAGCTTTGTTTAGATTCTTGTTACTATTTTCACATCACATCAATAGTAGTCGTTAGTCAGGGGATGCGACATTGCATCGGTTGATTGAGCACTTGTTTTTATTTCGAGTTGATATATACTTGATATCTGCCCTAACCTTCCATATTCATACCCATCATCCTTCGATGTCGGCTCATCGAAAAAATTCGTAAAACGTTCCGTAGAAAATTAGCAAAAAAAGAAATTATTGACCATGCCCGTCTATGCAAAGACGTAGCAAGGGATACCGTACTATAAACAAAAAACGTTAGCCAACACCATCCATGGGAAACACTAAAGGTATGATAAAACGTACGTTGGTGGGAGCATTAAACTTGAGGTTCTTGTCCAGACCCGAAATCTCCTCAATCTCGCTGTCCTTGAGATCAAAGCTGGTAACATCCAAGTTTTGCGCCAGGCGGTTTGGCGAGTTGGACTTGGGGATGACGCTCAGACCGCGCTGGGTGGACCAACGCAGCAGAACCTGGGCAGGAGTCTTGCCGTGAGCATCTGCAATCTTCTTGATGACGGGGTGGTCAAACAGAAGAGGCGTGTCGGCGGCAACCTTCATGTCGCACTCGAGGAAGCTCTGGGGGCCAAACGACGAGTAGGCGGTGACCTTGATGTCGTGCTGGCGGGCGAGCTCGATGAGGTGAGGTTGAACGTAGTAAGGGTGGTGTTCGATTTGGAGGGTGGCGGGCTTGACTTTGGCGTAGGTGAAGAGGTCGAGGAGGAGAGCGCCACTGTAGTTGCTTACACCAATGCTCCTTGCGAGGCCCTTGCTCTTGATGTCCTCAAAGGCTTCCCATGTGCTTTGTAGGCTGGCGTTGCTGTGCTCGATCTTGCTCTCGCCGTCGTAGTACCAGCCGGGTGGGTAGCGGACCTTGGGGTCGACGTATTTGAGAGCGACGGGGAAGTGAATGAGGTAGAGGTCGAAGTAGTCAACGCCCCAGTCAGCAAGTTGCTTGCGGACGATGGGCTCGACCTGCTCGCGGTCGTGGAAGGTTTGCCAGAGCTTGCTGACGATGAAGAGGTCCTCACGCTTTACGAGGCCCTCCTTGATGGCGCGGGCAACACCCTGGCCACACTCAACTTCATTGCCGTAGTCTGTTCAAGATTGAGTCGTCAGTATGGGTTATTACATGAGCACGTGAGGAGGCTCGGGCTTTGTTCCGATGGACGACGCTAGCATTCCGATGCAGGGCCAAGCATCTACAGCAGCCACCGGTAATTCGGGGCGTCTCGCGGTAGCCACCGATTCTGCTGACCATTTGCCAGATGGTGGGGTTACAGGAAGAAGGAAGAGAGCAGAGAGAGAGAGAGAGAGAGAAATAAAGTGCTCAACACGAGTCGACGTACCGCATGCGCCGTCAAACAGCCGGTAGCCAGCCTTGATGGCATTGTAAACAGTATCGGCGCAAGTGGCATTGTCGACCTTCCACAGTCCAAAGCCGACTTGGGGCATCTTGTTGCCATCATTGAGGGTAACGAAAGGGACGCTTGAAGCCATTGTAGCGAAAAAGCTGCGGTTGGCAAGTCTAGTCTTGAAAGTTGGTACGGTATGCGTTCGAGGGGCAATGCAGCGAGCCTTGGTTGACGACGACGACGACAACAACAAAGCAGAGGAGGAAGAGGAAAGAGATGTCAAGAGTCGAGGAGTAGAAGCAGTGGACAAGGCAGCGGCGCAACGCAGCGTATTAATACTACCGGGACGGCAAATGGGTCTAGCAATCATGGCTCCCTGATATCAAACGTGTATTTTGCAGACGGGACTTCAGACCATTCTGCCCCCAGGCACAACAAACAGCCTGTCGTCTATATAACGCCGTGTCAGAGGCTAGTTTAGGCCAAATGACCCTGCGTCTTCACCCGGACGACTGGGTTAACCATGCCTTTGCCTTTGCCTGTCGAGTCCTCATTCGCCGTCGGTATGCCTGCCACTTTACCCTGCCAGGGGCCACTGTAGCCTTTATGACGGCCACTCAGCAGCACGGCAGGTAGCTACACGTCGTCGTGTGTAAGCGTGACTTTGGACGGGCTCGCCGCCTGTCTGCTGCTCTCTCCCCAGTGCCCGGCAAATTCTACGAGGGCCAGGATAAATAGCGGCTCCTCTCAACAGACTGCTATCTCGAGGGGCCTTGGTCCAGCTCAAACGGCAGCGTATCAAGGCAGGCGTGGGTGGTCAAAAACGGGCGCGGCAGCATATCAGAGTGAGCGCAGTTTTGCGTGGTGGGGTTGCATGTGCCCCTCTTGCTCCACACTGCGCGGTAGGCGGATAAAATACCAGTGAGTAACGAGGCACCGGATAATTGTTTCCCACCACCGCCTCGACCTGCCAATCGACAATCCCTCAACCACTGCAGGCTCCGCCTTTGGCGGTTCCGGACACCGTGTTCCTTGTCAAGCGCCCGATACAAGGCCTTGCCGTGTGCACGTGCTGGCCTGCTCAAGCTGCAGTCGACAGACATGGCATCAGGATAGCATTGCAGACACAGCAGCTGCCTTCACCCCACAGCCCCTCATCCAACACAAGCAACAGAAACATGAACATTGGCTGGCCGACGCCCACCATCAATAACAATACACTATTCATACTAAAGACGTCATGTCCACTCGGGACCAGGTCGTACACATTTTTTTTCCTTGCGCGCCTTGCCCGTCATGCGCCAGACCAAACACCAAAGAGCAAAATGCCCCTTTCGCTACAAATACCCACCCTATTTCCGCGAACTCGCCATCTCTCCATATCGTCCTCTCTGCTGTGTCGTGTCGTATGCTTGTAGGACCCTCGCCTGCGACTCGTCCGTCTGCGAGAATGCATAGCCTCGCTGTTTGCGCATACGCTGTACCTGTCGTACCTTTCGGATGGCTTTCTGGAACTGTTCCATTCTGTCCATGTATTAGCATGTCTTCGTTTGTTCCTAAACACACTCAGAGTGACGTACCGTGGGCGATAATCTTGAATGTTGTACTTTTGAATTTCCTGAACGTGGTGGTAGCTCTGTGGAAAGTACATTCGCTTTGCGTACTTCCATGCAAAGTCTCGGATCAAGCAAAGCGGCGGTAATACCACCAGCATGGCCCAGAATCGTGGGTCGGGGAACAGTCGCTCAATGACACCGACATATTCATGGGAAATGCCAGCCTTGGGCGCTACATAGGCGTAGATGGGCATGAGGATGAACCACAGAAGCATCGAACCTGGAATGGCCAGCACAGTGTACTTTGTCCAGATATTGGTGATGAGCGAAGCCTTGAGCAGCACAGTTGCGAGATTAGCAGTGTAGGCTGCCGTACCCCACACCCAATGACCTGCATTGCGGCCATCCCACTGCGGCCAGTCCCAGATGATGAAGGCCTGAGCGCCAAAGTAGAGAATGAGCGAGTGGTAGAAGCCATTGCCGACCCAGGACCAGAACGAGTGCATCCTGAAGAACACACCCGACTGACTAAGGCGGTAGAGTTGCGGGTATCGATCCAGTAGCCTCGCGCTTACAAACTGGTCAAAAATACCAAGGACAAAAGGCGGCGCTGCAGTGAAGAAGACGTTGTAGAAGGTGAGGGTCCACGACTCGTAGATAATCTGGCCGGAAAAGCCGTTTTGGAAAGAGTACCAGAACTGTGTCATGAACATGGCAATGTTCTTGTAGAAAGAGTACAGAATGACCTTGCTGACACGTTGGTAACTCCAAGCACCGTGGACGAGCAGAAGCTTGCGGAGGTAGCGGAATTGGCCAATGGCAATGTCTGCACTACGAGCTGCCTGGAGACCTTCGACACCGCTAATGCCAACACCAACGTGGGCAGCCTGGATCATAGAAACGTCATTGGCTCCATCGCCAATGGCCAACAGAATCGACTTGAGATGGCGCTTGACCAGCTTGACAACAAGAGCCTTTTGGAGCGGAGAGACACGGCAGCAGATGACAGCCTTGCACTTGATGGCAAGATCCAGAAATTCCTTTTCGAGATCGCGTTCAAGGGCGTAGGTGAGTGATTTGCCGTCGATGACCAGAGCGAGGACATCCATTTCGGCCCCACCTTGACTCTGGCTGGTAATCGCTTGGTACTTCTTGCGGATATTGTCACGAGTGGCTTCCTTGTTTTCCTCGTTGATGATGAGAAGACTCATGTCTTCGCTAATCAGCTTGCAACTCATACCGATGTTGATGGCAGTCTCTTGGCGATCGCCAGTCAGGACCCAGACCTTGATGCCGGCGGATTGCAGAGTCGCAATAGTGTCCGGGACACCGTCCTGCAGCTTGTCCTCGATCGCAGTTGCTCCCAATAGAGTCATGTCACGTTCAATAAGTTCAGCGGCCTTGTCTAGCTCTTCGGCACGGTTACCGCTGACGGTTGTCTGTGCAGTATTGAAAATTGACCACCATTCCTGGAACTCGTCCTCTGGAATCTCACGCATAGCTAGACAGAGGGTGCGGAGACCCTCGGAAGCGTATTCTTCCAGATGAGTCAGCGTCGCTTCCACATACGGGTTGTCTTTCGAAAGTCTCTCCAAGATGACGGTATCGGCGCCCTTGGTATAGCATACAATCTTGCCTTGGGGCGTGCGGAAGATGGTAGACATTCTCTTTCTTGTCGAGTTGAATTCACAGACAGCCAAGAGTTCGTATTCCAGTTGACGACCGTCGACCTCGATGATGACAGCGCGCGGTTTTCGTGCAATGAACCTGTAACCCAGAGTCACAGCGCCTTCGACCAAAGCACCCTCATCTGGAGAGGCAGCTTGGTACTTGATGGCGCCCTTTTCTCCCTTCATTTCGGGAATAACGGTGTGACATGTCGCGAGAAGGGTGAGGAATTGGTCAATGATGTGCTTGTTGGCGTGCGATCGTCGGTTCTGCTCAAGCTGCTTGAAGTCGTGAATTCCAACCTCAACCCCGTCTTCTATCGTCGCACGTCGGTCTTCGGGAATCTCGTCGGCATACTGAATGCCGGCAATGGTAGACTGCCTGAACTCCATCATGTTACATGTCAAGGTACCTGTCTTGTCAGAGAAGATGTACTCGATCTGGCCGAGTTCCTCGACTAGGGACGAAGTTCGGCATTTGGCGGGTGTGTCGGTTGGTTCGTAGTAGATGTCTAGGTCTGAGTCGATCAAGCTTCCAGTGTAGTACTTTACGATTTCGATTGTTACAAAGAGCGAGATGGGGACCAGGTTAGAGTACAGGACCCAGTAGGTCAGCAGGTCGCGGAAGAACTGCTTGGCACCGTTGAAACCAGGGAGATCGAGGTAGGTGAGGTTACCTCCCCGAGTAGATTGTATGATGACATCGCCAATGGAACTAATAATGCTAAGACAGACAAGGATTATCACAAGCATGAGAATTTGTCTGTTGACCATCCTCTCTACGGCCGTCGTCTTGATAGGAGTAGCTGTGGCGTTCCTCATGAGCTTTGTTTCATGTCCGGTAAAGACAACCACCCCATGGATCCAGGGTGTGTTGCGCAGCGTAGCACCACGCAGCAGTAGCTGATCGGGTGCCAAAGGTAGCTCCTTCTCTCCTCCGCCCGCAGCAATGGTCAAGGTGGCTTCATAAGTGTAGAGACTGCTGTTGGGTTGTTCGGATCGGATCCTGCCGCCTAGTCTTGCGAGTTCTGCTGGGCTGACAAAGTCGGCAGTCTCGGGGATAGCCTGCTTGATCTTGAGGTTTGTCTCGCCGTCCAAGTTGGCAGTTTCGATGTAGCAAAGACCCTCGGGCTCGGAAGAGGCGAGAAGGACGAGATCGGTGGGGAAGGGCTGCTCGGATTCAACGCGCACAATGTCTCCCACTGCGACATTGACCCATTTGGTGTCTACAAAGGTAGAACCCTTTAGGACTTGAGCCTTTGAATTGTTGAGCTCCGAATCAGACTGTTTCCGCCGGAAGTCTTCAATGTATTCCTTGACGGCGGATACGAATAAAACAATACAGAGTGGGACGATTGTGGTGAATCGCGACGTGGGCGAGATGCCGGGAATCTGCTGGAGAATTGCGGTAAACAAGAAGAAGAGATTGGCGTATTTGGAAAACTGCTCATACAAAAACTTGGGAAGGAAGGTGACAATGTTGTACTTGGACGTCGAGATGTGGTTGTCGACGTACTTGTTGGCCGAGTTTGCGGGCGGGTTGTTGAGGTGGATGATGCGGGGGCCGAGGGTCGAGGGGTCGGGCGCGCCTCCACCAAAGCCAAACTTGAAGTTGCTGGCGCCTTTTTTCTTCTTCTTGGAGGATGAACCATCATCGTAGGCGCTGGCGGGCTCGTTTGCGCTGGGCTGCTGCGGGTGGGCCGCGTTCTCGGTCAAGGGCATGTCCATCTCTGAGTACTCTGAGCCGCGGCCCAGCATGTTCTTGACACGTCCAGTCAGGCCGCCGCCGAGGCTGAGGATGCTGTTCCTGTTGTGGGCATTCTTGGAGCCGCCGCGGGTGACGCCTGGCGAGGCTTGGTCGTATGCGCCCCCGGCGGCGTAGTAGCCCTGTGCCGAAGCGTCGTCGTCGTGGGGGATGTCGGCGTCGGAGTAGCGCTGGTAGTTGTTCAGGTCCGAGGTCTGCGAGTAGGCCCTGGGGTTGCCTCCTGCTCCGCCCACGTAGGGTGAGCCTGCGGGAGGAGCGCCTGGCCCGCCCGGCAGGCCCTGGGTGGACCTGCCACCGCCGACAAAGTCATCGTACGAAACCGAGGGCCGGCCCTGTGGCGGGGCGTCTGAGGCATCAATGTCGTAGCGGTGCAGGAGGTTGTGGTCGCCGGTGGGGGGCGGTGCGCCCGAATTGTATGTGGGCTGGTGGTCGTCAAAGTCAATGAGGTTGTCGCTATGAGGCGGTCCACCTGGCGGCCTGCTGGCCATGGCGGCCGTCTGTCGTCTTGGGCGTCCTGGGTCCGCTCAGCGCGTCTGCTCTGCTAATGCATCGAAGAGCCGCCGCAGTCTGTCGCCGTGTCGTGGGGGAGGATTGTATGTGTGTGTGTGTGTGTGTGTGTGTGTGTGTGTGTGTGTGTGTGCGTGGGGAGGGTTGGCTGCGGCCACGGGCGGAGAGGCGGGCGCTGAAAATAGTACAGTGGTAGTCGCACCTCCGCGTTGGCCGGCGGTTCGTGTATCAGGAGGGTGCGTGTGTGAGAGAATGCGTGTGTGAGCGAGAGAGCGGCTATGGCAAGGCAGATGCGACGCGCAACAGAGAGGGAGCTGGCCGCAGGCTATGGAGCTGGCAGCAGGATCACGGGTTCAGGGTGCAGGTGTCTGGCCTGGCTGTGGGTTGGGCGGGAGTGTCGTCGTCGAAAGATGTGTAGGCACGGGCCCCGAGGCAGTGGCAGTGCCTAGAGTACGTCCATACGACTGCTTCCCTGCTACCCTGGCCAAGCTGCTGCAGCCACGCCCCTGGTGTCTCCATGTATGTGTCCGCCCTCGAGCGGATGACCCACTGCTCGCCCCCCCTCGACCAAGTCTCCAAATTGCGCCGAGTCGACCTGGACGCGTGCGGCTGTCTTCTCCTCGACGTCCTGCTCCTGTCCAGGGCCATTACGCGGCGCCGCCGTTGGGAAAGACATTAGGTGGAGCACACTGACGTTGCGCCAAGCGCCCTCTCGATACTCGCTCGATTCTAGAATACACACTGTCCTCATCAATCAAATGCTCATCATCTCGTATGCATCTGTGTACGCTACACAAATACATGTCCCGGCTCTGTCTTCCTGGAATGCAGGGCCATGGCCCGACTTTGAGACACCAAGCATGCTGGCCCGCCATGGGTATTGAAACCAATGCAGTAGTATAAACTTCGTTGCTGCGCCCTTTGCCCTGCGTCCTCGACTACAGGCACATCCCAATTTAACTCACGTATGCACTGTGCTGCGGCCTCTTGGACATGCCCAAAACCACGACCCGAGCGCGCCGTGCCGCAGCAATGTCAACCCTCGATTTGAGCACCGTCAAAGCTGGCACTCGAGACTTGTGTACTGACAAACTGTTGTACCAAGGCCTGTGGTGCCAAGCTGAGCTGGTCCGCCATCTCGTAACGGTACCCTAGTGGCGCTGGCAACTCTTAAAATAGGTAGCGATACGTACCTCGCAGGCATCCACTATTGGCCCATGAGACCACATCTCACTTGCTTGCCCTCACCGCACCTGACCTACGCCCACCCAAGTACATAGCCTCAGCACTGCCTGAGCCCTGCGTATTATTCCCGCTATGCAAGTCTTCCCTATCATTGCATACTACAAGACCGTCTTACTTACATGCACAGATACATCTCATCTCCATCTTGCTTGGCATCGCTCTCGCATGCAATGACAATCTGCCGAACCCTCCCATGGTTCGCCATCCGCTAGCGCCAATCTTCACGTCCCATGGCCAGAATTTTCCTCCACCACGCCGTACCCTGCATACTTGCTCTCGACAGCGCACATGGTTTCTTTTTGGCCGTGCAGATGCTCTCTCATAATCCATTGCTATATACTCACTCCATGCCGCATTTTCTCCATCGAAAACACCAATAGCCCGGCTAGCTCAATCGGTAGAGCGTGAGACTCTTAGTCTTTCACGGTCTAACAGACACGATTACTCAGTACATCTCAAGGTTGTGGGTTCGACCCCCACGTCGGGCTTGTACGTTCTTTTTTGCTCTTTTGTCATCTATCGTACTCGTAGTTTTTTTTGGTATCTATAGCCATGCTTTCATGAACCAACAACATCTCGCTACCCCTCTTTTTACATGTGTTCGAGTTCGCTCAAAGAAGGAAATGCGTCCTATGTATTGTAATGGCAGACTGGTGCGCATGTCAACAGAACGAATCCCCTAGTTTCCCTAGTGCGAGAAGCGTATTAGAAGTAGCAAGCATGTACCGGCATACTGGTACTTAATGAAACAAACTGCTTAATGTGAAAAGCGTATCAAAAGCAGTGAGTACAGAATCAATGACAGGAATGACGGGTGCACCCTCCCCCAGCAGACAGCGTAGCGTGAAATTGTTAACAATGCTGCACCAAGGGCTCATCTCTCTTCTGCCGAGTTAACTGCCACCAAACATTCACGTCGAGGAAGCAATCGTTAGGGCCCTCGGACGGAATTCCATGGTTCCCAGAACAAGGCGCCTCTCCAAGTTGATTGCAAATCAGCAATCATGTTCAAGACTTTCGACCCTGCTGTTAACCAATAGACAGTGAGTCTTTGGCTAGATCCACTCCTAAGGCAATCATCCGCCCATGGTTTGACGTCTCCACTGTGCCAAATCGAGCATTTCATGTAAAAAAAAGGCACAGCTCTCTTATTTCCAAGGAATTCAGATACCTGCTTGTTTCACCCACCAGACCCTATCCCAACTCCACCTTGAATCAAACTCCACTTTACCTCCCCCCCCCCCCCAAAAAAAAACAACTACTACTACTCAGGAACTCAAAATGGCCTACGATCTATTGCGAAATGCATCAATCCCTGACGTATCACATTCCACCACCCGTGAGTTAATCCTATCGTGGCGCGTGCCACTTGATCATGGAAAACACGACTGCACACATTCGCCCAAGGCAACCCTGGGCACCTTACACGCCTTCCCCGCCGAGCTACAGCAACGCACTGTATCTTACCTCGATATCAAGTCATTTCTTGAATTCCGGCGCGTCAGCAAGTTAGCCATGCACCTCGTCAACTCTCTGCTGGAATACCAGAAAATCATGACCCATGCGCCCACAGCTTTGCGCATGGCTATCGCTATCAAAACACACCACAGATACACCATTTCCGATCTCTTCGCTGCATTATGCCAACGCCACTGTGAGGACTGCGGGACACTGGCTCATTATGTCTGTCTCTTTACCTGCCGCCGTATCTGTCTGAGCCAGGAGAAATACTGTGAGGGTAGCTTGGCACCATGTTTGGTTAGATCTGATCCAACCGGGGTCTACGGCATCACCCGCGGCGTGCTTGGACACGTCATCATGGTCACTGATATTCCCGATAATGTTCCGCGGTTTTGGCCTGTTCCTGGCTTCTATATGCATACCCGAATTGCCGGCGAAGGCGGCAAATCTAAGTATCATCTCATCCGCAATGGTGATTCATACGTTGACATGAATTACATTCTTCCTGGCTGGAAACTGGATATCGACCCATTTTTAGGAGAAAAAATCGAGACAGAGATGGTGCTGAAGAAGAGCATCTCGGCTGTTGTTGCACCTAGGCTGAGCAAGATGAGCTGGGGTGCGGAATATGGTATGCATTGCCCAATCTGCAACGCTAAAACGGAGAGACGTATCGATTGGCTTGAACCATGCTGGGATGCTAGCATCGATATTCGGCAGTATGATGTTTGGACTAAAGAAGAGCTAGGGAAGCATATGCGTGAGGAGCATGGTGTAGTAGAGAAATTAGTTCAGGTAGATTGACTGAAAGCCTATGACAGGTATCTCCTGTGCCCATAGAGTGTAATGAGTATTATTATTGGGAACTCTAGGCTGATTGCATTCGGTAAGCGTGAAATTGACATTATGAGAGATTTTAGATGAGAAGTGTTGATCACACCATCAATTATGTGAGATTTACATCGTTCTTTGTGACGCCATACGGACCTGGGTGACTATTAAAAAATCGTACTAAATCTATAGTTACTCTAATTCAGCGCTATTTCCAATCATAAGCAATCCCTTTTAACCAACCATATAACACATGCACTCCCCAGCCACAACTTATACAAACAACTCTCACTCTGCTCCATACCTCCAACGCAGCACAGCACTCTCATTACATCATCTCAACCCCCTTTGTTCCAAGCACCTTACACCAGAGGCACCAGCCTCACCGATTACCCAGCGCAGCTCTCCCAGACCCCATACTTTCTTTTTCCCCAAATGCGAACACCAAAGACACTAATCTATTATTAGCCAACCCCCAAAAAATCATAGTATACAACCACAATGTGACCTCGAAACTCTGGACGCCTAACTCCACAAACAGCCTCCCAGCATCCCATTACACGAATTAAACAAGCCGTACTCCCAACCTCGTAAAAGTCGTTCAAAAACGTGGAAAGAAGCAAAAAAAATGCCTTGTGATGCAAATAAAGCCACTTTCTTACTTTCACCGTTCGCCCGTAGTTCATCGTGCAATTTAGGTTTAGTTCAATCTAAGATTCAGATGCCCCACCACCCCGGTTCCACAGATGGCGCACAACACGCGGAGTATAAAGATGCCTGTGAGATCCGTGGCGCAACAGCGATGCACCAATCGCACTGGCTGGACAATCATTCGAGGGATGGGGGGAGCGCCCAAATGCCAAGACAATACAGCCCAGTTTGACATGTGGCGTTGAGAAAGTAAATGAGTAAAGTGAATCACGGGCGTTCAGCTCAGCTACGTATAGTCATACAAACGACGACGACGACGGTGGAGACTAGATGCAATACTCGCTTTAGCAACGATTACGTCTTGTAACACACGAATCAACGAGAAAAAACGCCATTCGATGGTCGTGGGGCAGGTGATGATGGGCTGCAGGTACAAAGTAAAGGGGGGAACTGGCCGTGTGTGTGTGATAGCGCCACAATCGATAGTGGTGATGTAGATCGTGCTACAGAGAAGCTCGGGAGGGCCCGCGCCAGACGCGATCGATGGACTATTTTGGACTAACGTGGGCGAGAGATTGTCGGTCGGCGATGTATCACGGACTTTTTGCACATGATTATGATGTGCTAACGGCTGGGCTGAGATGGAGATTGGGGGGATGGGCAAGGCAGGGCGCTATGGTGTAGCTTGGGGTATATTAAGGGGAGAGAAGTCCGATGCGCATTTTTTTTACAGTTTGCAATCTCAGATCAGGAAACGAGAACAAGTAGAGAGACAATGGCACGATTCCTCCAGATTTTGCTTGCGGCTGCGAGTCTTGTTGCGGGACAGAGCGCGATATGTCCGAATGAAGTTGCTATTTACAATCCACAGGATCGGACGCAGTCATTCACCAACAGTACGTACTTTTCATCACTGCGCCCTCAAGAACAGTGAAATCTAATACACCTTCAGACTGGTTCCTCGTTCCCGTCCCCAAAGAAGACGTCAAAAAAGCACTCCAACAAGCCTTCCCAGCTCTCTTCAACCTCGGCGGCCTAAACCTCTTACCCGTCCCAGCATCCCTCAACTTGCCTGCTGGAATGCACCCAGTCATCGCCTCAGCCGGCATGACCAACGACATCCGACAAGACAACTTCCAAATCGCCACCGGCCTAATGTTCGCCGGCTCGCTAATACCTTATGTCGGAATCGGGTCTTCCCAAACGCCTCTAAGCGTGCCCCTCGTAAACTACATCGCAGGCGTCGACGAAGTAACCCAAGCCTACGTCGCCGGCATCATTCCCTCTATAGTCGGTACGCTTCCCCCCTCCTCCTCCTCCCCCCCCCCGCTTCTGCTAGCTAACCACCTCGAAAAAAAAGCAACCATAGCAGGCATCCTCTTCCGCATCGGCGCCTTCATTCCGCTCTCCACCCCCTTCCAATCCTACTCCGACGGCTCTTTCGGTATAAATTCCAAATGGGCCCAAGCCCCCAATCCCGCCAGCGGACCGGGCCTCTACTCCGAAGCCGTTGACCTGAAATTTGTAAACGAGCCCAATCAAGCATCGCCGCGGTACACGCTTACCCAGTGGAAACGCATGATTAATCAGCCGTGGATCCTGGCAAACACGGCTAGCTTGCTGAACCCCAAGTGCCAGAGGAGTACGTTTTACTTTACGAATGCGACGGCGGTGCCGACGTTTAGGACGGGCAATGTGACGTTGGGGCCGTCGGCGAGTGTGGATCCGTTGACGGCGGTGCTGCAGAGGGCGAGTCCCGATGGAAGTGGGTTTTATGGGGGTGTGTATGGGTTTACGGCTTGTGCGCAGAATGTTGGCTATGGGGCTGTGGTGCCGCAGGGAGAGGATTGCGAGGTTGCGGCGCAGATTGTGGCGAATTCGCCAGGGGCTTGGTAGGTGGGATGAGGATGGGGGTGGGGGAGGGGGGTTTGTGAGTAGAGGCAGGGGTGTGGAGTATAACTTTATGGGCATCAATAGTACTACCGAAACCGGCCACCTGGTATTCTACTTGTGGTAACTTTTCCGTTTGAGTAGTCTGTTGTGGAGCATTACGCTTTTGCTGTAAAGTCTGATCTGGGACCTTTCGCGGACGGCCTGAGCCAAGCCCCCCCGTGTTCTTATTTGTATTGGCGAAGTTTTGAGCGGCGGTCAGCAAGTTTTCCGTATTGATCGCGTTGCTTGAGGAGTCGATAGGCAATAGAATGGGGCATGTCGAAGTCACAGAATATGTCTGACTTGGGCCTATCACTGCGCCGATCAATGGCTTCAAAAATCGAGCACGCGTTGGAGTATCAGCATGCGGCCTGCGGGATCGCTTCTCTGAACTTGGAGGAGTCATTTTTACGGAATATCATTTGAGAACATTGTATTTGGTTGAGATATACACAGCTGTCAAGATGTTTGGGACTATCAAGGTTACGTCATTATGGTATTGTGACGCGAACCCTGTCAGCACGGGCTTGTATTACTTTTTCTGCTGAGGGGTGTTTGGATCTGTTATTTTCAACATGCATATCTTTTTTTGACCAGGGTAGTGCTTTGAAGTGAATTGTGCAGCGTTCGAGGTACGATTGTCAATGCTTGCTCTCCAGAGACTACTTTTCCGTTATGCATGAACCCCCTTTTCCGTCTCTACCAATATATCGGCCTCTGGCGGAACTGAAATAGCCGGACAACACCAAACCACCACCAAAAGTAGCCACTTTGAACGCTAAATAT